ACTGACTTGTTTTGAATGTTTTAATTCTGACATAAAACCAGAACAATAACAAGAACATTTAACAATGCATAACAAAGCATTTAGCCTTAACAAATACAAAGTCATAGGTACTACTCTACAATGAATGTAGTAATAATGCATGAGTTCAAAAAAAATCTGTTGAAACTGTCAAAATGGATGGGTTGCCACATGAATGTTTTACTTATGAGTTACAGGTCCAAATGAAACATCTAGATTCATAAATTTTACGGAATTTTTTTTACAGTGTATGTTTGATCAATTTAGTCTTCTCAAATCATCACGACTCGCCTAAAATAAAATCTATAGATATAAACAGTTCAAGAATATATCACAATGTTAGTTTAAAAGTTTAACCTAGACAAATGTGCGCTATTAGGCGCATATCCAGTCGTTGGTGCGGAGAGTGGATGCTAAAGTGCGTTTTGCAGGACATTGAGTCACCAGCGCGATCACTTATAACAGTGGAAACAACTTAAAATACGCCATCATTTTTGCTCATAAAGGTAAGAGTAATACATTATTCCGAACTGTAAAGGGTCTACTTTTATTTGGGTGCACTCACAATATCAACAAAACGTTGTGCTTTTGTAAAATAAAGTAAACAAACAAACAGGATGCGCTTTCTGCCATCTCGGTCTTGAAAAGGAGCGCTGCACAAAAATGAACTGAAACTCAGCGAATACATGCCACACAGACATGATAAATGTATCTATAGAAAGCTTTAAATTGCTACTTTAACAAAATGATTCAAATCAAAAACAAAAAATATTTAATTAATCCGTAAAGATGCATTTCTCTCTAAGGTATATATTTAGTTTTCTAAATTCGAATTTTGTATTAAAATATTATCAATACTTGAATTATATTCTAATTTAAAAGGCATATTTTCTGTTAGGGGAAATTTGGACTGCTGTGTGTGTATTTGAGCACTGAGAACTGATCGCGAGCTGTATATGAGAACTGAAGAAGTGGAGCGTGCGCGAGAGAGAGCACTTATATCAGCACGATTCCGCCTATTCCGCCTTCACTAACTTTAAGGGTGCTTTCACACCTGTAGATCTATTGCTTTGTTCCGAAACAGGGATTAAAATTATTACAATGTTGCTTTTTATTCTTTGTGCGGTTCGCTTTCACACGGCAAAGTTTCTAAATGGACAAAAATTGCTAATACAAGTCACGTGCGAGTAAACTGTTCTCTCATTGGTCAAAGTTCCACAGTTTATTTTCCGGAATTCCGCTCATAGCTGTCATCCATCAGGATGGAACGACAACAGCTTTGAGGGCTTATTGTTGTTTTTTTTGTAGCTGTCATTATATTAATTTATTAATTTATCATTTTGAGCAGGAGTCCAGGATTTGTCGGTAAAACATTGTTAAAATCCACCTACTATAAAGAAGGGCAATAAGACGGCATTATAAAATGAAAAGGCGCACTCACCCACAGACATCTGCTGCGTCCCAATTCGCATACTATCCATCCTAAACATCTACTGCTTTTCACGGAACTTACGTAAATACCCATCATACATTGTGATATAGTTGTGATATAGCCTGGTTTGTTGAATCAGATTGCTTTCTCACTACAACCGAACCGCTCCAGAGTTCGTTTTCAATCGAGCCAAGACCACCTCGTTCAGGCGATCTCGGACTGATTATTTTAGCACGGATCCAAAAGCGATTGCCGTGTTCACTAGGGCTGTGTATCACCAGCAAAGTCACGATACGATACGTATCACGATACAGAGGCCACGATACGATACGATACACATCACGATACATGACTGCACTGAATTTCACCTCAGCAGAATTTAGAAAAACAGCTGTTTATTAAACACTGCTTACTATAGTGCCATTTCTAACTATTGGCAGAGCAGGCAGCTGACCTCTGCATTATGAAGGGCCTCCATAAATGTACCACAGTACAATATAGGTAATGGCATATGTTTACATTGTGCACTCCCAACCAGGTACAATATTCTGATTGTTTGCATCTTGTTTTTAAGCCCATAAATAATAATGTACTTGTTCTAATCAATTTATGTTGTAATGTACTCATTCTAATATATTTAAAAAATCATTTGCATTGCTGGTAGGTTATCATTGCACAAATTAGCACACTCTCTATAATTAAAAAAAAAATGAGAAGAGTTCTAAACTTAACGCGCTGTCTTCACTGAATCTCTCCCACACACAC